ACCCTATTAGATCCATGCTGGATCGTGTTTTCCTTGGTCCCAGGTGGGATGCCCTGTTCCCTAGGTCTTATCTTCTCGCTAAATGCATTGTCGGGTCTGATCATACCCCCTTGATTCTTGATGATGGTTCCATCTGCAATAGACCTCTGGCTAGATTTCAGTTTGATGCTTCTTGGCTGTCGATTGACGGCTTTGTCGATATGGTCGCTGCGAAAATTTCCAACTCCCTTTCCTCCAACCTCCGCTCCTTTGGCCCTCTGGATGACTGGCATTCTTGCTCCTATTCCCTTTGCAAATTTCTTAGAGGGTGGTCGCGTAACCGTGCGGCGGAGGATCGTCGCTCCAAAGACTTTCTTGAAAATCAGATCCAGGAGCTGGATCGTACTGCTGACTCTATTGGGCTCTCTAACGATGGATGGGCCGTTCGTTATAATCTGGAGGCTGCACTTTTGCAGCTGCACCATCAGGCTGAGATTTACTGGCGCCAAAGGGGCACTCTTAATTGGACACTCAAAGGGGACGCTCCTACTGCATATTTTTTTGCGATTGCGAACGGTAGACATAGGCGATGTGACATTAACAGTCTGATGATTAATGGTGTGCGCTCCTCTGACCAGTCGGTGATTCTAGCTCATGTAGTGGATTTCTTTTCGTGTTTGTTAGGGTCTAAACCTCAATCGGGCTTGTCCATTTCCCCCCACCTTTGGAGTTCTGGTCTTAAAATTTCCCCCGAGGAGAATGCCTCCTTGATGATCCCGCTCTCTGATCAGGAAATCTGGGACGTGGTTAACTCTGCTAACCCCAATGCAGCGTCCAGGCCAGATGGCTTTTCCATTCCTTTCTTTCGGAGATTTTGGCCCCAGTTGAAACAGTTGGTGTGTAGCGTTATTCAGGGTTTCTGTCTTGGGACTGTCGATATCTCTCGTCTGAATTATGCTGTAATATCCCTGATTCCGAAGGTCAAGGGTGCTGATGTTATTTCCCAATTTCGGCCTATAGCGTTGATTAACAACTTTGCCAAATTCCCTTCCAAAGGCTTTGCGAATCGGCTGTCCCCGGTTGCGCATAGAGTTATTAGCCCCTTTCAATCTGCTTTTATCAAAGAACGATTCATTCTAGATGGCATTCTTTCCCTTCATGAGATTGTTCACGACCTTCACGCGCGGAAAGCTAAAGCGGTTATTCTTAAGTTAGACTTTGAAAAAGCGTATGACTCGGTTAGTTGGCCTTTCCTCAAGCAGGTCCTCTTGCCAAAGGGTTCGATGGTGCTTATGTCCATCGTATCATGCAGTTGGTCTCGGGTGGCCATAGTGCTGTTGCTGTGAATGGCGTTATTAGCAACTTCTTTGCGAATGGCAGGGGCCTTCGCCAAGGGGATCCAGTCTCCCTGGCTCTCTTTAACTTTGTGGCCGACGCCTTCTCTTGCATGCTCTCCAAGGCGGCCCGTTGTGGGCACATTACCCCCGTGATCTCCCATCTTCTGCCGGAAGGTGTCTCCCATCTGCAATACGCCAATCTTAAATTCATCTTGCTGTGTTTCGAAGTTGTTTCGGGTCTGAAGATCAATTTCGCCAAGAGTGAGGTTCTGGTGACGGGTGTGGACGGGGCGGAAGCCTTGCGGGTTGCCAGGCTCCTTAATTGCGCTTTAGGTTCTTTCCCTTTGAAGTATTTAGGACTTTCTATCTCTCCTGGTATCCTTCATGCGAAGGACTTCGCTCCGGTGGTTGCTGAAGTAGGAAATAGGGTGCTCCCTTGGAGGGGTAGATATAATACCAATGCAGGCAAAGTGGCTTTAATCAATTCTTGCCTGTCTTCTCTCCCTATGTTTCTTATGGGCTTCTATCTTCTCACGAATGGCGTGCATTCTGGCTTCGACAAACATAGGGGTGGCTTCTACTGGAATTTAGCTGATAACAAAAGAAAATATAGGCTGGTTAAGTGGCAACTGATGTGTAGGCCTAAAAACCTTGGGGGGTTAGGCATTATTAACACTCGGGTGATGAACATGTGTTTGCTCATCAAGTGGTGGTGGAAAATTATGACTGTGGGGGCCGGGTCGCTGTGGTTTTCGATTCTTAAGGCCAAATATTTCCCCCACTCCAATCCTATGTTTGCTCCCGCGCGGCGTGGCTCTCAATTCTGGAAAGCTCTTGTTAAAGTTAGGCCAATTTTTTTGGAGCATGTCAAGTTTTCTGTGGGTAATGGGTCTGCTGTTCGTTTTTGGTTGGATTGGTGGTCTGGGGATGCCCCACTTGCCGTGAGCTTTCCGATTCTGTTTTTTTATTGTCCCAATCCGCAGATCTCCATCGCGGAGCTGGCTGCTAATAATTGGGATTTGGCTTTCCGTCGGGCTCTGTCTCCTGAAGAGTTGGAAGATTGGCAAAGCCTCTCTGCCCTCTTCCCCGTGCTCTCGAAGTCGGCCGACTCGGTGTTTTGGCCACTTTCGGCCTCTGGTAATTTTTCTGTTAAGTCGTTGTATTTTAGACTCATTGGTGGTACCCCCTTGGCTAGATTCTCTTGTGTCTGGAAATCAAGGGTTCCTCCAAAAATTAAGATTTTTCTCTGGCAGGCCTTTCGTGGTCGCCTCCCTACTGCTGATCAGATCAAAAAACGCAATGGGCCGGGCTCTGAATTCTGTAACCTGTGTGGGGCCTTGGAAAATTCCGACCACATCTTTTTCAACTGTGTACTTGCCAAATTAGTTTGGTCTTGCGTCAGATCTTGGCTTCGGGTTTCTTGGAATCCCTCCTCTTTTTCTGATATTAGAACTCTAGCTAAAACTTTGGTCGGGGTCACCAAGAGGGTATTTTGGGTTGGCTTGGGAGCCTTATGCTGGGCCTTATGGAATATTACAAACAAATTTACTATTGAGCTTACCTTCCCATCTAAACCTGCTGATGTTCTATTCAAATCATGTATATTCTTGCAGCAGTGGAGATGATTGACTAAGGAGTCTGATCGGGACGCCCTGGACCTGCTCATCAACAAAATTCGGGCTTCGGCTTCTCAGATAACCGGGACGAACCCTGCCGTATAATTTGGTGCTGTAGTTTGCGGACATTTGGTCTTTCTCCTCCCCGGCCTGCGCGCTGTGTATGGCAGTTGCCTGTATCATGCTTGCTTAGGTTTCTCTTAAACTCCTCTGTGTGGTTATGATTTCCTGTGAACCTGTGGTATCCGTGACGCTGCCTGATGGCTTTATCTATAAAGTCGGGCCTTGACCTTTTCTCTAAAAAATAATGGAATCGATGGAGTACAATGCAGCTCTGTCTCTTTCGCCATCTAAAATAAATTAAAAACAAAAACTATGGGTCCTTCGGCCTCTTCTCTTGTTGACAACCTCCCCGCCACCTTGGCGCCAATCGCAACCTCGGGAACTATGTTAAATTTGCTACGGTGGCAATGTTAGAAAATTTCAGCATCAACAATGTTCGTGCCTTCCACGCTGGCAGACAAATTTTCTTTAGTACTGATGACGCAAAGGAATACCGTGAGATACTGGTTTGATCTCACCCTGTTGTAGCCCCCGGTTTTGTATGAGGCTCGGCATCATTCCTGGAAAGAAGAATCAGGCCGGTATGGAGGCACGCACGCTGCTGGTCAAGAACTTTGGAGAATCCGTCGCGTCGCTCCAAAACGCTCATGCAAATGATGCACCTCCCATGTGTTCCTTGGTCCATTTCCACAACAACCTAAAAACAATCCAGGCAATTTGCACGCGACCTTCAATTCTCTGGTGCTGATCGCCGGCGGATGGGTGGCCAATTCGCACACGTCCTTCGGTCTCGATCCATTCCGTCGACGGCCTTGAAATCATGCCGGCCGCAACTCAACTACCCTGCCATTCCCAAAACACAAAATTATAATGTCATGACATTCGAATTTTACAAAAAAAAAACTGGAAACGCATTCGAATTTTACAGAAACTGGAAACCCAAAGGGCAATCGAATCGAATCCAAAACACAAAAACTGGAGCATATAAATCCAATTATTTGTTGAAAATCGTGGATAGAGAAGAGCCACAGGTCTTCGCCTCAGATCACCGGCTCACCGCCGCGTCGGGATCCGAAGTGCGTCAAGCGTGTGGCGTCGCTCAGACGAGCGGCAGCCATGGCCCATGGCCGGGGATGCATGGCTCTCCAAGTCTCGGCCTGGTTCACCAACCTCACCGTGCGTACGAGGCACGTACAATGCACTTGTACTGCCGCCTCTTGACACACTGGCCCGCCCATTCACGTCTCTGCAGCCAGCTATAGCACCGGGACTGGTTTGATTAAATATCAATGCATGCAGATACACACATAGATATATAGGGACAGTACACTCCCAGTCCCATGTGCCATGTCCAGCTTAGCAAAAAAGAAACCGCCACACAACCAGTTGCAGCGCATGCCATGCTGCACGCTCAGCTCAGATCAGACCACCTCTTGATGATTGCCTCCACTAGAGCAGAGCAGAGTATCTCCACGCCGATGCCGGAGCTATAAATACGGGGCTAGCCTCGGTTCCCACCACACTTCAGTCTTGTGCAACCGAAACAACATACTACAAGCAGCCCGGTCTTGTTTGCTGGAAGCTCAGCGGGGAGGAGATCAATGGCGGGGAAGCTCTACCAGCTCATGGCCAGGCTGCACCTGGCCAAGGGACGGGCGTCGGCGGACGTGCCCAAGGGCCACTTCGCGGTCTACGTCGGCGAGCAGCGGAAGCGGTTCGTCATCCCGACGGCGTACCTGAGGCACCCGTCCTTCCTCGTGCTGCTCAAGCGGGTGGAGGACGAGTTCGGCTTCGACCACCGCACCGGCGGCGGCCTCACCATCCCCTGCTCAGAGGGCGACTTCGCCGACATCGTCGGTGGCTGCTCATCCTCCTCCTCCCCGGCGGTGGATTACCACTAGATATGTAGCAGCTCGTCCGACCACACCGGCGCCGGCGCATGCATCGGCCTGTCCAGCCATTGATATGATCACTGCTAGATTGCTACATTAGGACGGATACATTTTGTTATTAGCTGAGGATTAGTTATTCTTGGAACGTGGCATTAGTACTCATCAATGTACTGTTGCATTTGCTTGAACCCTGTAAATTACTCGTCTCACATTAAGGGATATGAGAAAGTCTGCTGCTCTCATCTCATCACATTGCAATTTTCTCCAGATCGGTGTTCGATGTTGGTTGCTTACAGTTTGTACCATAGGAAAGCCAAAGGTTTTTCTGTTAGGAGTGACGATACAGTGGGACACGAATACTAGCTAAATACATTCAGTGCCACTGTGTTCGCTATTCAACTCAGAAGACCTGAATTCACTTCAGGCTTTCCTCTGCCTATCAGTACCTTTATTCCGCCACTTTATTACACGATATATAGGCAGTAGATCATTCTCTCAGCTTTTTCTTAACGTGGATGGTTTTCTTAACTTGATGCAGTAGATTTTTCTTTTAAAAAGAAGGATTACCCGGACCTCTGCATCACTTTGATGCACACAACTATTGATAGGCAGTAGATGATGAATAATGTCAATCTACTTCCAATATCACACACTTAAGGGTTTCATGTTTAACAAAAAACCGCTTCACGCCCCGCGTTGTCAGGTGGCAATCTGCAACCGCCGGCCCTTAACCTTCCATCCCCCCTTTTCCTCGCTGCCGCAAGTCAACGCCTCATCAGGGGCAACGTCTGGAACCGTCACCCGAAGCTGATGCTCGCCCAGATCAGGGGCAACGTCTGGGGCGTCAGCCTAGTTGAGGAGGCTCCGTTGTGGGCGCCTCTCGCCCACTCGTAGGTGGGGTCCCTCCATCGCAGGAGGGGTTAGTCCACCGATGAGTCTCTCTCTGCCTCAATCTGGCGTGGCCAGGTGGGTTCGCCAACGGGTTTGATCCATGCCATATCTGGTCGTGGCCGCGGACTTGAGCCGGGCCAAGCCTTTGTCAGTGGCATGTTGGCTTCCTTTGGTGATCTCGGATCGGTAGATTGGTAGCAGTGCATGGGTTTAGGGTATTATACATCAGGGTGGCAGCCCTAAATGGCCAGCTTGCGGCTCACTCTCTAGCGAGCAACATTGCAACAAATGTTGGCGATGCTCCTTAACCATGTAGGGGGCAAGGTGCGTTGTGGCGGGTGGTCCTGGCGAAGTTGTCGCCGTCTGTGGCAGCCAAGCCTGGATCCAGATCTAGAGTCCTTGGTCCATTGTGGTGGGTATGGTGGCTTGAGTACCCTTGGGGAGGTGTGCAATAGGGGCCGAGCAAATGTTGGGCACCTCAGCGTCGGCGCTGGCAGCGATGCATGCATGTGCCGTGTTCCTCTTGGTGGTGCCACCTTGGCTCCCCCTTGCTAGCACCTAGGGTTTCGTTTGCACCTATCTTTTACACATGACAACTCCTTCTCTTTGTCCTTTCTGCTTGCCAGCACGATCAGTGCTCCTTGGTCTGGAGCGAGAGGGTAGAGGGTCCTCTCCTCTCTGACATCAGTTTTGGTGGTGATGATGCGACAAAGTCAGGTGGTTTGTTCCAGGTGGGGCATGTTCGCTTGTTGTAAGCGTCCTTGGTCGTGTCTTGCGGTGGTCTGGCCTCTCATGTGCTTCTTCTCAACAGCTTGCTGGAGGCGTCTAGTAGTGCACTCCAGGTGCTTCTTAACGTGTTTGGCTTGTTTTGCGGGGTTCTTTTTACCAACGTACATAAGAATTATCTCAATACTATGTATCGCTCCGCTGTGTGGCTTTATTTACTTATAAAGTGAGGATATGTTTTTTTTGAAACGGAGGCAAAAGATTTGCCTCATCTATTAAATAAGAAGAGGATAGAGTTTGTTACAAGGGCACACTTTTACACGGCATGGAATATTACTCACACAAAATAATGTTCCCTAATTTTTTGCTCTGGCGGTGATTCAAAGGTTTGCCTCGTAGATGATGTTGTTTAACAAGATTGGTGGTGGAGCACTCTTGTTCCGGAAAACACGGGCATTCCGCTTGTTCCAAATGGTCCATGACACGAGCATGGTTAGAGAGGCCATGGCCTTCCTGTTGGGGACTCCGGCGCCAGTCCTATTTGTCCATCATTCCTTGACCGAACTCTCAAGATGCCACATAGAGGTGTCCATATGATGAAGCCCAAATTTTGCAATAACCAAGTTCCATAGCCTAATCGTGAAGCGGCATTTGAAGAAAAGACGCGGTCCATTTTCTTGCTCTCTCTTGCAAAGGATGCAAAGACCACAATTTGGCCATCCTCGTTTTTGTAGCCTATCCGCAGTCCAAATTCTGTCTTGGATAGCCAACCAAGCGAAGAATTTAGTCTTTGGTGGTGCCCAAGTTTTCCAAACCATTTGGTCCATGGGAGAGAGAACCAAGCCAAGGAATTGGGCCTTGTAGGCGGAGGCTGCAGTGTAGTGCCCGCTTGTCGTATGCTACCACACAATAGTATCTTCAGAGAGTGCATCCAGATGCACATCATTCACAAGTGCCCATATGGTGAAGAATTGTCGGATGTGCTCAACGGAGACAACCGTGGAGGTGTTGACCTTGAG